TAAGTGCTTAAGTTTCCCTGCGTGATTATAATTATTCTTCGGGATGGTGCTTCGGAACTACCCATGCCTGTTAAACTTCTGCTCGTTTACGCATTTATTGCCCTCAGCGTGGACTTTGTTCAACGGACTGCAGTCCTTATCAGCACATTTAGCACCGCCGACTTGGTCAGGGGCGGCTCCTCCTGCGCTTGGCGGTGCCACAGGTGGTCCGGGCTGGTCGCACCTCCCCTGTCCCGCCTGCGGCAGCCACTTCCCAGGGAGCCGTGCCTGCCAGAGGATGGTGTTTGGAGCAGTGTCTGTTGCCGGTGGGCTCCTTGCTCCTGGGCTGTGGCTGCTTCTGGCGCCCTCAGTGGAGGCCCAGAGAGGGTCCCGGCCCCTCACTTCACCCAGCACCGCAGGGCAGTTTGGACTTTATCATCCGTCTCCACCGTTGTTGTTCTCTGCGCCAGCAGCGAGAAGCCCCCACCCCCCCAGAGCCCCTCCTCCCCCTGCTCCGACCCGTCAGCCCCGGGGGTCCTGGTCCTGCCCGCACAGGGACCCCCTTCGCGCTCTCTGTGTGCCTTTTGGTTCACAATGAAAATTAATAATCTGCCGCCCACTGTTTCCTTACTAGACCCAGTTTTCTCCCCAGAGATATTCTATTCTATGCCTTGGAACTATTTATGACTAAATATAAGGATAGTGTCCCTCAGGGAAATTACTTGAACCCCAACAAAGATGTGCACATTTATTCATTTGATTTTCAAACGTAGATGGAAATATGTCAATAGCTGTTTGAGTCATTTCCTGTCCGCGGCGTGTGAGCAATGCCGCTATATATACGAATACGTGCACAGCAGGCAGAAAAGGGACGCAAAGCAGAAATGTGCAACCCAGCGACTTTGCCACTCACGTGAGCACCACCAGAGTCAGGACATGGAAGCTTCCGGCAGCGCAGAACCCTCCATCTGCGCCTTGATTGCAGCGTCGAGGTCTTTCTCTCTGACGACTTCTATTCGTGTCCTGCCGAGCAAAGCGGGCCCCAGCAGAAGATGTTGATGTGACTACATTAAAATTGGAAACTTCAGGTTATAAAAGGAAGCCGCTGGGAGAGAGGAGTGAGTCTGCGAGTGGAGGAGTCGTCCGCCGTGCGCGGAGCCAGCCAAGGGCGTGCGCTGTCCTCAGGGGACTCCTGGAGCCAGTGGGCAGGGACAGCCCCGCAGGGACGTCAGGGCACCAGGTGGGCATCGCGCAGGGACAGCCAAGTGGGCGGCAGACGTGTGACACGGACGTCGGACTTCACGGCGTCAGGGCAGCACGACCTAAAACCCCCGTGAGACGCTCCTCCGCGGCCGCGAGCGGCTGAAACGGGAAAGGTTGACAGCGGGGCGCCCTGGGGCGAAGAGGAGGCGCTGGGAACACGGGGGGGGGGGGGGGGGGGGGCAACGGCGCGGACGCCGCGGGAAGCTGGTATCCCCTGCCGAGTGGAAGACCTGCGAGCGTCAAGATCCCGCAGTGGCCGTCCTGAGCACGTGCCCGGGAGGCGCCCCCGGGGGCAGGCCCACGGATGCGCCCAGCGGCGGTACCCACGGATGCCCTACGGTCTGCTGCCGTAACACGGATAACGGTGGCACAGCCAGCCGTGGGGACGGGCGAGCGTGCCCACAGCACCAGGGAAGACACCACAGCCTGTGGGTACAGGCAGGAAGGAAGACAAGTCATTTGGTTTCATTTGCAAACATTCCAGAAATAGGAGCGTGTTTAGCAGGTGACGGTGCTGAGCGGTGCTCGCTTAGCTCCACAGAGGCATAGAATCGGTTGCCGCGTGCGCCGTCGGGCGGGGATGCACAGTACGCTCTTTCTTGACGTCGGTGGCTGGCGCTGTGGGTGATCGCTTCACGAAAATTCATAGGGCTGCACATTTAAAAATTTTTATTTTTAACTGACTTTGTGCACTTTTCTGTGTGTTATATTTCACATTTAAGATGTTTTCATTTAGGCCGGGCGTGGTGGCTCCCGCCTGTAATCCTAGCACTCTGGGAGGCCCAGCGGGGAGGATCGCCGGAGCCCAGGAGTCTGAGGCTGCAGGGAGCTGTGACGACACAAGCACACATGTACATACACAGTCACACACATGCACACAGGAGCACACATGCAGACACACAGTCAGGCTTGGCGTTTCAGCCCCCTCCCCATTAGGCCACTTGGTCCTGGTCCTTTTAGATGGGACTGTGGGCTGGGGGGAAGGGAGGCAGGGAAAGTCACCCGACCACCCTAAAACCCACAAAGGACTACAGCAGCAGGGAGGGGCGGGGAGGGGCAGGAGGACGGGCCAGAGGACAGGCGGGGGGGCGACAGGGAGACCTGTTCTTTCACTCACACGAGTATCCGATGAACGTCAAACCTGTGCCAGGGGCTGCACAAAATCCAACAACAATGGGGTGGGCAGCACGGCAGGCGGGGCCGGCAGGTCAGGGGTGAGCCCAGGGAGGCAGACGCAGACCTCAGCCCCAGGGCCCATCCGGAACCAGTGCCGCCTGCTGAGGGCGGGGGATGCACCTGCTGCCAAGGTGCTTACTCTGGCCTCACCGTGGAGCGTCATGGGAGCGCGGCCCTCCTTGGCCCTGGGGGTGCGAGCCAGAGCCTCGGCCTCCCGCCGCCCAGGGGTAGACACCAGCCTCCTGCCACCAGGCCACCCTGATGTCCCGTTTCTTCTGCAAGGACCCAGAAAGCCTCCGCCGGGCCCAGGCACGTCCCAGGGAAAGCTGTGGGCCTCCCAGCGTGGGCGCGGTTCCTCCCACTAGTGGCCCAGGCGGTAAGCCAGCGCTGGCATCCAGGGGGTAAGGAAAATGAGCAAAGAAAACGTTCCCTCTGCTTCCTTCCCTCCCAGGCTTAGCGAACAAGCCGCTTGGATGCTGGGTCAGGGAGCTGACCTTGTGACCCAGGACCCCATCTCCCCTGAGTGTCGGGGCCCCGGCAGCCAGGACTCCTCCGAGGCCCAGCAGCCTCTCCCGGCACATCCCAGGCGACTCCCCGGGGACGGCAGGGCCACCTGTGCCTGGTGGCGGAAGCATGGGACTCGCCCACGTCCTGTCAGACGCCCCCAGCCCTCCAGCCGCACCCCATCAGCCTGCAGCCCTGCAGCAGCCCCCAGCCCACCACCTCCCGTCTGGGGTCAGGGGTCAGCACCTGGAGGGTCCTGCCCCATCCCCACATGTCCCCTTTCTGACCCAGCAACCTGCCCTTGACGCCCAGGCCCTGCTGCTCCGAGGCCGCGTGCTCCCGCCACCCTTCCTGCAGAGCCTGCCTCCTGCCCGGGCTGGAACCCCGTGGTGGGCACCGACCACCCCGCCTCTCGTTTGCAGGTTCCCCGGGTCAGGACTGTGACACTGCGTCCTGCTGCGGCTGTCCCCACCCTGCACCTGTCCCGCCGGCTGCAAGCTGTGGCACCCAACTCAGGGTCCTCCTTTCCGAGCCCCGGGCCTCGTATCCACGCGGGTGGCATCAGGCGTGTGACATCCCCACTGGGACCGTGATTGTCCAGACCAGGGTCGATGATGCCCCAGAACTGCTGCTCCCCGGAGGCTCCTGCCCCGTCTGTCCTCCCTGGCACGGTGTCCCCAGACCCTCCGCCTTGGCCTGCGCGGCCTGTGCAGCCAGCAGTGGGTGCTCGTCCTCCCTGCTCTGGCCCCGATGGCTTCTCTGCGTGGCGGGGCACAGTCGGCACCTTCCTTCCCGGTTTGCTCCCGGTATAGGGTCCTGCCCAGCGCCCGCTGTCCCTCCTACGCCTCCCCCTGCCCAGACCGCCAGTCCTGCCGCCCAGCGCCTTCCCCCGCGCCCTCCCGCCCAGACGCAGCCCCCACCGCAGCCTCTGTCCGCTCCTGTCCTCCGCAAGCCAGTCCCGATGCCCCAGAGGGCACGATCTTCAGAAATCGCAGACCCACCTGCCTCTGCTCCGGTCAGTTCCGCCTGCCCGCTGTGGGCCCCGTGTCCCTCCGGCCGCCCCGCGCCCGAGCTGCGCAGACCCCACGGCTCCCCAGCCCCGCCAGACCGAGGCACCGCTGCTTTCTTCCCCTGACCCCGACTCCTCTGCCAACCCCGTGCTGTCCCCTCTCTGCTCCTCAGACTCGTCCCCCCCACTGCCCGCGTGGCGCTGCCTGCAGTCGACGGTTGATCTTCACAGCGGCTGTGAGGAGGGGGGGCCATTCCCCACCTCGAGGGCAGGAGCTGGGCAGAGGGCCCGGCCTGGCCCCAGAGCCCCCGAGACGGGCAGCAGGCGGCCAGGGCTCTGCCACTGCCCGGTGCTCCAACTGCCAGCGGCGCGGGCACCGCGTGCTGCTCCTCACGCCCCTCCCCTCCAGGGGGTGCCCCATCCTCTAGGGGACCCGTGTTCGGGCTGTCCTCCCCCAAAAACCCCCTCGGTCCACTGTCGGAAGATGCCCGGCTACAGGCCAACCTCCCCGGCAAAGCAAGCTGGGACGCAGCCCGGGGCCTGGACCACCAGGTGGTGCCCGTAGGAGGCTCCCAGGTGCTCACATTTCCCTGTGTCCTGCTGGGGCGGGGGACAGAAGGCGGGCGGGAGCCGCACAGGGATTTTATTGAAAGTTCACAGACACAGAGCGGAGCAGGGTCACAGCAGGGGGAGGAGGGGTCGGGCGAGAGCATGAGCGAGTCCCCGATGCTGGCAGCCCCCCACCCTGGGCGGCCCCCACATAAGCCCTTCTTGCTGGGTGTCAGGTCAGAGGGGCCCCGGGGCCCAGGAAGGGGCACAGGAGGGCGGGGAGGGCAGCCACGGGAAGCCGGGGTGCAGCGGCACAGGGAGAAGCCCACAGGCCCCAGAAACAGGCGGAGGTCAGGGGCACCCAGCTCGCGGCCCCCTTGCCGTGATCAGCTTCTGACGGCCTCGCTGCCGGGGTCACGGCTCAAGGGCCCCAGGGCAGAGCCCTGCGCTGCCCGACCTCGCAGAAGCCCGCGTCTCAGCGATCATGGAAGTCCGGTCTCCGCGCCGGCGCCTGGCAGGCTCAGTAGTCGGTGAGCGGGTACCGCAGGAAGATGAAGATGAGGATGATGCAGGAGGCTGCCAGGGCGGAGCTGGTGATGTTGAACAGCCGGGCTGTCTTGGCGTCCTCCACCGCCCCGTTCAGGTCGTTGAGAAGCTTCTTGTCCCGGACCTGCGGGCGTCAGAGCACAGGTGACACAGTGTGACAGTTTCGCGCCCACCCCTGCGTTCAGACAGCGCTGCCGCGGCTGTGCGGGTGGCGTCACTGCCGTGGCGTCACGCATGCGGGACGCAGGGCACGGGCCACCGGGCCTGAAGCCTACTCGCTCTCAGACAGTGCGCAGTCAGCGGTGCGCACCCGGAGAGAGAAGGAAAAGTGAGGACGGTAAAAGGTTAACGCTGGGGGCAACCGGGTGAAAAGTATCAAGGCATCCTTTCTCTTTTTTGTGACTCTTTGGTAAGTCTAAAATCATTTAAAATAAAAGAAGTTGGCCCCAGAGAGAGTAACGTGGTCGGAGGATGGGGCCACAGGCGTCCTGATTTGATGGCGTCTGCCCGACGCAACGTGGGCGGGGAGGACCGAGAGTGGGCACGGGTGGTGTCCCCGGCTCTGGGAATGGACGTGGCCGGGGCCCTGGAGTCCCGGGAGACGCGGGACCGGGCTGACGCGTTTCTGAGACGCCACCTCGGGACCCTCTTTCTTCCCGCAAAGTCCAAATAGGAGCAGGAGCTGGAGGGGAGGGGCGGAAGGTCTTCCACGAGTGGGCTGGGCCGGGCCGGGCTGTCGAAGGACGTGGGCAGGACGGACCGGGCCTGCGTCGCCAGTGGGTGGGCGGGCAGACGGGGCAGGGGGTGCCCGGACGGCAGAGGGACGGAACAGGTGGGTGTGGACCGTCTTCTGGGTGAGGGGACGGTGGGAGGGACAACTGAGGGGAGAGAGAAAGGAAGACGGAGAGATGAGTTTGCAGCAGCGGGTGGGGGAGTGAGGAAGGGGCAGAGAGGACGGAGCCGGAGGGCGGAGGGGCCAGTGGCGGGGGTGGAGCGGGTGGGGTGGGCGGCGTGGACGCGTGGAGGAGAAGGGGAGGGAGGACACGAGGGTGAGGGGCACGTGGGCGGCGTGGAAGTCGGGCTGTGTGGACGTGTGACCGCCACGCAGAGACAGGCGGCAGAGAGGCGGGGATGGGCACACCAGTGTGGCCAGATGGACTTATGAACGTATGTGGACGGCTGGCACGGGTCCACTGCGGACGCAGCAATGCACGCTGGGTCACGGAACAGGCACGCAGGCACACGGGCGTGCTGGACGGGTGGGTAGGTAGAGAAACGGATTTATGACGGCGTACTGGATCGGCAAGGCTGTGGAGAGTGCAAAGGGAGGAATGTGTTTGGATAAATAGGCCACAGTGTAGACCGACGGATGGCGGATGGACGGAGTCGCTCACTCAGTCCGTCAGTCGATCAGTGTTCGTTCAGTGTCCGCTGCGTACTGGCTGTTCTAGGTCCTGGACACATAGCAAGGGACAAAACAAAGTCCCCGTGCCCGTGGAGTTACAGTCTAGGGAGCGGACGCAGAAAGTAAACATGAGTAAGTGAAGTATGTAACGTGGAAGCAACCGAGAGGACGAGAGTGAGGGAGGCGGAGGGACGGATGTGGGTGTAGACAGGTGGGCAGACGGGCGACGCGCGAAAGGGAGGGACAGAGGACAGGTAGGGTGGACAGATGGACGGACCCTCGCTCAAGGCTGGCTGTGCCGATGACGCGATCGACTGCCGGGGCGCAGGAGGGGACGACGTAGAGTGGGTGGATGGGCCACGCTGCGTCCCCCACCCAATCCACGTGGCGACATCCGGCCCCTGAGGGGATGGCAGGAGGTGGGGTCTCTGGGAGGCGATTAGGGCATGAGCGGGGTTAGCGCCCTTACAGCAGAGGCCCCCGGGGACCCCGGCGCCTTCTACACGCGAGGACATGCGGAGGAGCCCAAGACCTGCCCGTCGTGGGCACCGGGTCTCAGACTTCCAGCCTCGGAGCGCGAGGAACAGACACCTCTTGTTTACAAGCCGTCCGACCCCGCCATGCGCCGCCGCAGGGCGAGCAGACTGAGGCGATGGGAGGGAACAAGGACGCAGACACGGGCAGTCGGTGACGGAGCGAGTGGCGGCTGGTGCAGGTGGCGAGAGAAGGACAGAGAAGGGTCAGTGGAGAGCAGTTTCGCAGGTGGACGGTGGCTGCCTGGTAAAGCTGCGGTGGACGGTGAGAAAGGAGGGAGGGTGGAAGGGACGGACGTGTGCTGGAACAGACGGACGAGGAATGGAGGCGGAGAAGGAACAGAGGGGACAGAACCCGCGACAGGCACAGAGAGGAAGGCGGGGTGAGGGGGGCAGACAGGGGCGGACGGGGGAGGCCAGTGCCGCGGTCGGAATACGTGCTTGAGAAACAGACTCCGGTGACCTCAAGGAAGTTACTTTGCGTCTCTGTGCCTCAGTTTCCTCATCCGCAAAACAAGGGCATTAATGGCACCCAATCACAGGGTTTCATCGTTAATTAAAATGTTCAGTTAAGCTGAATGACGGGAAGCGCTTAGAGCAGCGCGTAGGATGCGCTGAGAGCTCCGCGAACATTGTGCTAGTTTGTGGTTGTTACTTGCTGCTGCTGGTGCCGCTGCTGCTATCGCTATTAGCGAGTGATGGGCTGGCGGGGACTCCAGGAGACGCAAAGACTAGACTGACGGCTGGGTGAGGGGAGCTGAGCAGCGGATGAGGCCGGCGGGCAGACCGTGGGAGGAAGGAAGGAGGAAGAAGAGATGGAAGATGGGTGAACGGAGACACGGTGTGGTCAGTGGGTGCGCGGCTACGCGGACGGCGAGAGCGTGGAAGTGAGGTAGCAAAGCTGGTGACTGAGTTAGCTGACGGAGAGGAGCCTGGGAGGGCGAGGGCGGAAGGGTGGGCGCGTGAGGACGAGGGCTGCTGGTGGCCGAGGTGCGTGCCGGGCCCCCCCTCCCCAACCACGGCCACCTCCGCCTGCAGCCTCCAGCCTCGCACAGGGTCGCGGACGGTCCTGGGAGTGACCTTTGGCTCATCCCTCACCCCGGTCCCATCTGTCGGGACAGGCTGTTGACTTTTCCCTCAAACACACTCCTCGGTGGCCAGGTGTGTAGCTTCCCGCTCCTGCCACCCTGGTCCTCGCCTCGGCTAGCGCCCCACCCCATTCCAGATGCCGGGCCACTGACCCCGCCTTCGCCTCCGGGCTCCCGCAGCACCTGCCCCTCCCTGGAGTCCTCCTCTGCGCACACGGCTGCCACGAATTAATCCGGGCTGATGCTCAAACATCATCGCGCCGAAGGGTACGCCTCTGCCCGCCCCACATAAAGCAGCTCCTCGTACCTGTGGGCTTTGGGGCTGTCCGACCCCTGCTGGAGTGAGCTCCGTGGGGTCGGGGACCTGCCTGTCACCTGGGGGGCGCCGGGCGGTCACTTACTGCACGTGAGCGAAGGGAGGAGCAGCGGAAGGGCGGGTGACCGCCTGGCAGTTGGATGGAGGGATGTGACGACGCCAGCGCCGGGGCGAGGGTGGGGAGAGGGGTCGGCTCGTCCTCAGAGGGAGGACGGTGCACCCGCAGACGCAGGCCGGAGCACGGTGCACGTGGGAGAGGAGGAGGAGGAGAGAAGAGAAGAGCAGATTGGACGAGCCCAGGGTGGCCGTGTGGATAGAGAGAGACGGCGGCGGTCGGGGCGACAGGTGGGAACAGACGGGGGATGGGGTGCCGTGCGGAGGGAGGGATTAGCAGGAGGCTGGGGGCGTACAGGTTGGGTGAACGGGTAGGAGAAAAGGGGAAGGAAGGGGAGAGGTGTGTCTGTGGTGGGCGGGGACGGACACGCAGGTGCATGTATGGTAGGAGGGAGGGGGCAGCTATGGGGGTGTGAGGAGGAAAAGGGGGTGCAGGGTGGAACCTGAGGCTCACGGTTGGGCAGAGGGAGGAAGAACGGGAGGCCGGGAGAAGACGGGGGTCACTGCACCTGCCAGGGGAGGACGAATAGATTGGCGGGTGGCGCACCAGCTCTGGAGGCCTGAGGCAGGGAGGACGCGGCGCTGGGGACGGAGGGTGACCAGGTGGAACGGCGGATGCGCGTGTTGATACTCGGGCGGCTGTGGTCACACGCAGGGCGGGTGGAGGTGACAGAGGCAGGTGGAGGAGGGGGTTCTGCGATGATAACACGAGGAGCGGGAAGGAGGGAAGACATGACCGCGGGTGACGCCCAGCGCTTTGCGGCAGGCGCACCCCACTGGAGCACGGAGGAAAATTAGCACGGACGGGTGGAGTTGCTTCCCCAAGGTCCCACCACCAGTGAGTGACGTGGCCGAGCCCGTGCTTGGAACCAGAGCCCCCGGCCACAGGGCACGTGGCTGCGCGGGTCGCAGTAGCGAGGTGGACGCGGGGAGCGGGAAGGGAGCAACGCGGCGAGTGGACGGCACAGGGCGGCGGGGCGTGCGAATCACCGGTTTTGTTTGAGGTAAGAGAAGAAGGGAGGAGCGGGAGGGGAGAAGGAACCGACTGGGAGAAGACCAGCGGGTGGGAAGATGGCGGAGCTGCGGGCGGGGCGCGGTGCCCGGCGGTGCCGCTGCGGGAGGACGGGGCGAGGCGGAGCAGGGAGCAGAGGGACGAAGGCGGACGGGCGGCGGGAACGACGCGAGCGCACAGACAGGCTCAGGATGCGGTCGGCGCGTGCACGGGTGGTGTGGGAACGAGGTCTGCGGACACTGGGAGCAGGCGAGCGGCCGAAAGGACGCGGGGCGGGTGAACTGGGGAACCTCCGTGGGGCGGAAGGAAGGCGGGAAAAGAAAAAGGCGGCAGGAAAACAGGAACGTGGATAAACGGACGCTCGAACGGTCAGAGAAAGGAGGGGACGGAAGGCGATGGGGTGGACCGCGCTGGGCGGCTGAGCTGAGACGGGTGCGGCAGGGCGGGCGGAGGGAGGTGGGCGGCTGGGTGGACAGACGCGCACCGTGCTGGGGGGCAGGGCTGAGCGATCGGATGGGCTGTTTGGAGGGGACGCGGGGCGTGAGGGAGGAAAGTGCGAGGACTCGGGTGGCTGGACGAATGGTGAGGGTGGACGGGCAGACAGGCGGGCGTTGGTGCTGGTACTCGTGACGTAGGAGGGGGCAAGGTGCACAGCCCAAAGCCTGTTCCTCTGACCCTCCCATCGCTGGGAAGTCTCATAGCCTCTGTGAGGTCCAGGCTGCCCCGCTCCCCTCTCCCACCCTCCACCCTGCCCTGGTCCCTGCCACATGCTCTCCCACGGGACCACCACTGCGGGACCCTAACCCTCTGTCTCTAGGCGTGTCTCGGGCCTTCCTCCACGCTGGCTGCAGGTTTACGGCACTGATCACATCTTCTCTTCCCGCACACAGTGAGATCCCGGCCCTCACGCGGCCCCCAAATCCTTCCCCACATGGCCTCAGTCTGCCTTTCCCCCCACAGAGGACGGGGCCCGGCCGGCCCCCACCTTCCCGTCTCACTGGATGCGCCGTCCCCACCTGGACACCTGTCCTCTCACGCTCCACCAAGGCCCATGGAAAGGCCACCTTCCCCCAGAGTCCCCACCCGAAACCAGCCTCACCCCACGCTGGGAGTGACGCATTTCTTCTCCGAAACACCGCGAGGCTTAGCCCCCTTGTCCTGTGTCCTCTGTCCATCCCCCCCATTCGACCAGCACTCCCTGACCCCCACATTGGTCAGCCCCGCCTTGGGAAGGGACAGGACACCAGAGGGTCGGGTCTGGCAGGGTGAGCAGACGTGGCCGGGCAGCAGGGTCTCAGGGGCTCCGGGAGAGAGACTGGCACTCTCAGAAGCTCTCTGGCTGCGGGAAGAGCTCGTGCGAGCTGAGGGCACACGTGGCCCACGGCGCCTTCACGGGAGGACGGGGCAGGGGGTGTGGGGAAGTCAGGAGAAGGGTGGAAACTGGTCTTGAAGGGCCCTGAACACCAAGACGGGAAGCTTGGACGGGGTCCAGCTGACGGCGGGAGCCAGCGGCCATGGGAGGCGGCTCGCGGAGAAGCATGAATGGAGAATTGGCTTTTTGTGTTGTCTCCCCCGACACCAGGCTGCGCGAACACAGACTCGGTCTCTGCGGTCAGTCCAGCCGCGTGGAGCTGCACCGCCTGTGGGTGGGGGTGGACAGGTGGCTGCAGGGTGGACGGACACGTGGGGCCAGGCAAGGACATGGCACCGCTTCACACCCGCCGCACGCCAGCCTCCACCCTGCTCCCGGTGCCGCTCTGGGGCTGTTTGGTTTCCATTTGTTGTGTGAGCAGATGAGGGAGCAGGGCTCAGTGAGGTGTGATGGCTTGTCTGTCCCCGCAGCTCGGATTTTACCCAAGACCTTCTGACCCCAAGTCCGCCCGGTGCCCTTGGCAGTGCGCGCGACTGACCGCGTGTGGTCTGGGGCGCAGCAGGCCACGAGACCTGCAGCTGGATGGACAGATGGACGCATTCCCAAGCACGGGGCCAGGCTGGCCAGTCCTGTCCTCCCCTCCGCCCGGACGGAGGCAGCTCACCTTGCACCCCCTCCTGGGAGGCCCCGAAGTCTTTCCACACTCACCGCCTCCAGGGAAAGAGAGGAAAAGCAGACCCCGTGTGAGGTGGGGCGGGCACTCTCTGCCCCTCAGAAGGACAACCTCACACCACCCCCCGCCCCAGCACCAACCTGGCACCGTCAGAAAGCCCTGACCTACCTACAACCTGTGCCAGATGGGCCTGCCCCATGCCAGCCAGCCGGCCACAGCCCGAGCCAAGGGGAGGAGGGGACGGCTTCCGGACAGGAGCCTGGGCAGCCAGGCCATGTCCGCAGGCTGCTGGCAGGGCACAGCGAGAGGGCACCAGGAGGCAGAGCTCCGCAGCTGCGGCTTCCACGCCCTGGCAGCCACGCCCTCTGCTCGGCATGGCCCGGAGGCTACACCCTCAGCCCAGGGACTCCTCCACTTGCTGCCCTCAGCACATGCACACACTCATGCACATGTATGCATGTGCACACATGTGCACACACACAGTTACACTCACGCTCGTATGCGTGCACACACATCTGCACATACTCATGCACATGTGCACACAATATATGAATGCATACTCATGCACACACAATACATTCCCATGCACACGAAATTATACTGACACGTGCACATACATGCGCACTCACACACATCTGGTTACACTCACACTTGTGCAATTACACACGCTCATACACATGAGCACACACATGCACACATACTACGTTCACCTGCACAATGCAGTTATGCACTCACACACATGCACAGGTATGCACACCCACATGCAACACACTGACACACACACTGGCACATGCTCCCTCATACACAGGTCCCGCGTGGCCGTGCCCAGGGCCGGGGACACAGGCCTCAGGATGAGTACACCAGTGACGGCGGACCAGCGGGGCCAAGGCTGAGTCAGGAGCAGGAGGCCAGGTGGCCGGCGTGTGATGCTGAGGGGAGCACTCAGCTGGATCCGAGGCAGAGCTGTGCAGGTGACCTGCCTGCCAGGCCAGCCTCTGCCCCGGCCCTGCTCCTTGCAGCCCCCGGGTCCCCATTCCCCCCGGGCAGCTGCAGGCACTGGAGCGCCTCTGGCTCGGCCACTCAAGTCTGGGTGGGGGAAAGTGATGATTTGGCTAAATGTGAGCCGCCCTTCCTTCCGGAGTGTCGCCTCCCCCTCCTCCTGCCGCTGGGTCTCCAGCCCAGGACAGGACGGGTCCCCACAGCAGGTCCCTCACACCCTCCTCCGGAAGACTCCGTCTGTGTTTCTCAGGTTTGCCCTTGGGGCATGGGGGTCCTGTCGCCTGGCACCTAGCTCTGCTACCAGCTGGCTCCTCTCACAGTGCCAAGGGGCTTCTAGAAGTTGAGCCCACTCAGGGTGTGGGGTGAGGAGGTGTGCAGGACACATTTACACCTGTCTTCCCTGGGCCGCCCGGCCACCCAGGACTGGGCCCCCACTACACGTCTGGCGTCGGGCTCCCTGGTGAGGGGCTTAGGTAAGGTCTCCAGCCACCCTCCTTCCAGCCGGAGAACGGAGCCAAGCCCCCTTCGGCTCCACGCCGCTCCACCCCTGGACACCGAGGGCTGCTGTGGTCCGGGTCAGGTTCCCACATCCCCGGCCACAGGACACGACTCGGAGCCCACGCCCACCCCACGGCCCCTCCTGCAGGCTCTGCCGAGCCGCTGCGCAGATAGCCTGTCCCTAACGGCCCGTGAAGACCCCCAAGAAGCTCTCTCAGCTCAGGCAGGGGACGGGCAGACCCCTGCAGATCAGACCTGGCCGACACCCCGCCTCTCTGGACCCCAGAAACCAGACCCCTCGCTCTTCGTACACCTCTTGGCCGCGACCGTGCCAGTCGTACCCGGGGGCTCCTCTGAGAGGGACGGGCAGAGCGGAGGAGGCCAGGGGCGTCCAGCCAGCACCGCCGTCCAGGGCCTGCCTTGCCGCCAGGCTCACCTTGAGGGAGTAGGCCAAGGCGATGAAGCCCAGGCAGCAGAAGTTGAGGTAGACAAAGTTGAAGATGGACCACAGGTAGTAGTCGTTCACCTCGCTGCTGTCGGGGTAGACCTCGACCACCGTCGTCGGGTTCGCCATTGTTTTCTTCTCAGCTAGGTGCTTGCAGGCCTGGGGGGCACCAGCAGCCCGCACGCTGTCCGTCTTGCTGCTCTTGGACTCCATGGGGAACAGCGTGGGCGCCATGGGGGGAGACGCGGACGGCTCCGGGGCGGGGGCCGCGGGAGCTTGCAGGGCGGGGGGCTTGGACACGCAGGCGAAGCAGCCCTTGGGTGACCCTGCTGGGGGCCTCGGGATCCAGAAGGCCCCGTCCAGGGAGACTCGGGCTTCCTGGGTGCCGTCCGTGGTGCTGCCGGGGCTCCCAGCGGGGCTGGGCACTGGCCGGGGCCCTGGGCCTGGAGGGGAGGGAGAAAGGGAGGATGAGACGGAGCCTGCCCGCCTGGCAGCACCCACCCTCTCGCCCTGCAGCCCCGCGAACAGCCCCAGCGGAGATGGGCATCCGCACCCCCTGGCAGCCAGCTGCCAGCCTGCCACCTGCCTCCCCCGCCCAGCCTGGCGGCCGTGGCCACCGCGCTGCCAAAGCCCTTTGCAGCAGCCTTGGCGGGGACATGGGGCTTTTCACCACTTCGCCATCTGCGCACAAACATTCGCCCACTGACACAACAGCACCCCCAAACGCACACCCACACTTGGACTGACATGCTGCAACAGACAGCACCCCAGCACCCCAAACAAACCGGCGCCCGCCGAGGGCACCGGGCCTCCACGTTGCCAAAGCCGGTAACGTCAGAACGAGCAGAGCCGCGGGCACCTGCACACAGACGCGCCGACACATGGGACACAGACACCAGCACCCCGGGGGGCTCTCCAGACTCTGGTGCGCCCGCAGGCGCCAGACGCCGCCAGGTAAACAAGTCCCCACGCAGGCGACGCGGGCTCAGCCCGGGACTGACGCAGGTGCGGGGCCTCCAAACTCGCGCGCATCGCCCCCCACCTCCAAGCTGAAGACCCCAGGCGCGCACATTCGCACGGACCCACCCACCCCCCCCCGGGGCCACAAAGAGACGCACAAGGACACGCTGCGAAACGAACACTCCAGCCAGGCAGCGAGTCGCCCGCGCCAAGCGGCGCGCGCCGGGGGTCTGCGGCAAGGCCCCCGCCCGGCCCCTCTGCCCTGCTCTGCCGCAGCCGCCCGGACGGCGCGTCCTCACCTGCTGGCGACTCTTCGGCGGGCGGCCGGGCCCTGCGCCTCCGAGCGCGTCCTTCCGTCGTCCCCCGGGCCGCTGTCTGTCCGCCAGCCGCGTCCCAGCGGCCCAACCTTGGGGGCGGGGAGCGCGCGGGGCTCGCGGCGGCGCCGCTGCCTCCCCAGCTGCCCGAGCTCCCTCCGCTGCGCCAGAGCCTGACTCACGGGGCCGCAGCCGCCTCCCGCCTCCTCCCGCCGGAGGGGGGGCCGGCTCGGCGCTGGACCGTGCCTGCGCACCACCCCCGTCTCCGCACCCGCCCCTGCCCCGCCCTCTCGCAGGCCCCCAGACTCCAGGCGCTCCCCATCTGCCTCCCCAGGAGACAGCACCCCCTCTTTGTACTCCCTCCCTCACTGGGCCAGCCGAGCTCCTGCTCTGGGCCTGCTGGATCTCACTTCCCCACCTGCTCTGCGTGCAGCACTCAGAGTCCCCGCCCCCCGCCCCAAGAAGCTCCAGTCCCTGGGAGTGTCTGAGCCTCACCAAGCCCCTAGGTGAGCACCCATGTCTCCACAATCCTGTCCCTAACCCGGCCTCCACCCCAGAGGGCTCTCAGCCCCTCCCCACTTAACCCACCAAGTCCAGGCCCCCCACTAAGTTTCAGTGACCCCCCCACTCTCCCCTCCTCTCTAAGCCCACCCTGGTCAGAGCTCCTGCTCCCCCCATCAGACCCCCCTAATTAGACCCCACCAAGCCTGGGCCCCACCCTTGCCAATCCAGCTCACTCCCGAAGTCTGGGAGCGTGCGGCCCCTCCCCGGACAGCTGTCCCTGCACAGGCACCCCGGAGGGCCCCCTCTGTCCGCAGAGCCGAGGGTCCTGCTTGCTGAGGTCCTGGCCGCTAGTGACACTTGTGTCCTTGGAGCTGGGTCCTCCACCTGCCCACAGCCTGTGAGCCCGACCTGTCCCGTCTGGGCCCTGGGGCCCCCCGAATCGCTTCTCAGAACCAATGTTCGGCCCTCCCGGCCCTCATCTGCCCCACCACACTCTCATTCTCTCTTGGACACTTGTCCCTAACTGACCTCCCAGCCCCACAAAAGTCCCAATGAGGAGGCCCCTTCCCCATGGAGACAGCGCCAGCCCTCCCACCCTCCTGCACCCCCCACCTCGGAGCTGGGTCCTTGTCACCAATCTGCCGGCCCCCACCCAGCTCCGACCCTCCTCCAAAGGGACGCATCACTGTGGCTGTTCCTCCTCTCCGAGCTCCGTCCTGGCTCTGAGCCCCCTGTCCCCCCATCTATGGTCCTATGAACCATGAACCTCCCTCCTGCCACCCTCTGGCTCTCCAAGCCGGTCCTTCTCGGGGCGCCCCTGACTCCTAGCATGCACCTGCCCATGCTAGACACCCTGTTCCTCTCTGAACCCCTTTTCTCCCCAACCTCTGTGCTCTGAGCCCGCAGCCCTGCTCTGAACCCATGTCCCCTGGAAGAGCCCCAGCCCTCTGCAAGCCCTTCCCCTTCCCAACCCCTCCCCGGGCCGACCAGCACAGCCTCAGCCACCGTTCGGTTCTGAACCCGCAGTGCAAAGCTGATCTTCAGTGATGTTGATAAAACCCTTCCTGAGCCAGCCAGCGGGAGAAAGCACGGAGCCCCCCAGCCCCGGGACACCCTGGCTGCACCTCTGTGGAACCCTGTGGGCAGGTGGGGCCTGCCAGGGAGCCAGGGCTGCGTCCTCCTGTGCCCAGCTCCACCGCCTGTCCTCCCCAAGGGCCTGGCAAGGGGATCCCAGGCTGCAGGTGCCCTCCCCAGGCTGCGTGTGGCCGGTGTGCCATGCCATCCCACTCCCCGGGTCTGAACTGAGCGGGAGGACACTTCGGGGGCAGGCAAGGGGCCTGGTCTGCACACAGGTCCAGAGGGTCCTCAGGCGGCAGGGCGGAGGGGATGTCAGGGCCTGCTCAGGTGGCTGGGTGAGGAGTGCGGGGCCAGGCCCCCTCCCTGCTCCAGTCCACCTCTCTCCAAGGCCCCCAGAGCACCCCCGCCCTCCACTCTGAGTGGGTGATTGAAGGGGCCGGACTCCGGTAGACTCCTGGGAGCTTGCCAGGGGACGGTGCCACCCCAAGCAATGGCGTGGCCGGGAAACACCCCGAGGGGTGGGGGTGGTGGGGTGAGAGGCCCAGCCAGCCCGGCAAAGGCCATCGTTCTGGCCACAGTCATAGGGCACCCAGGGGCTCTGGTCAGTGGCAGCATCCTCTGTGAGCAGTGTCTCGTTGCTGCCCAGTCTAGACAGGGTTCCAGGCTCAGGGCCGGGCCCCCAGCCAGAAAGCCAGGGAGGCTGGATTTGAACCTGGAGTCACACGCCAGAGCCCTGAGCATCCCAACCAGCTGTGGGGAGCCCTCCTTGGGGCCACCCCGGGGCACCCACACCGGCCCTGGGCCCTGGGCAGGAGCAGCGGCGCAGCGGACCCTACATGGAGTGGCCCGCAGCCTGCGGGCAGGAGGTGAGGGGGCTGCTCCTGCAGCTCTGCCCTCCCGGGCCTCAGTACGCTCTGCAGAAAGCGTCCGGTCACACCTGCCCAGGAGCCCCGCTGGGCTCTCTGCTGGGATTTCAGTGCGTCTGAACCGGGCATGTTTACGAGCCTCCTTGCAACCCCGGGTCAGTGTCCCCAGAGAAGGTGTCCGATGGGGCTCAGCCTGGGTGCAATCCCCGGAGCCCTGGGAGTGGGAGGCCCATGACAGCCACCATCCCCCAGAGAAGGCACCAGGACGACGATGAGTGTCACATTTGCCCCGTGTCTGCACCTGCTGGTACGGGGCGGCGGGAAGTTCCAAGGACTTTACAGCTACTGATCCCAAAGGAACCCTGTTCCTGCCACCGAGCGCTCACAAACTCCTGCCTATCCACTAAACCCCACTGGCTGCTGCCGCTGCCACATCTGGGCACATGGCCCCAGTGGAGGACCACCCCAGCCATCGGTGGCTGCAGCAGCTGTGGCCTGCCACGGCACTGGCTCTGCTCATGGCAGGAGGCCGTGCCAGGGCCGGGCAAGGGGCAGCCCACCCCGCCCCGCCCTGCACAGGCGTGTCCTCTTTCCAGGTCCGAGAGGGGTGCAGAGGACCACTGTAGGCCCCGCTGGGGCCCTGCTGCTGCCCCGTCTCCTCCAAGAACAGAAACATTCTGGAAGAGCACAGCCGGCACTCGCCTCGCCTGGGCCACGTGAAAACTGCACCTGGACACTGGCGCTCACGCTGGAACCTCTGGCCAAGGCCACGTCCTGCTGCTCCCTGCTCCACCCCGCAGAATGAGCCAGTCCCTGCCCACAGAGCAGCCGGACAGCTAGCTATGGCCGCAGGTCCCGTGTGCAGAGAAGGGTGGGGGCACCCAAGTCTGACAGCAGGCACAGGGCACCCCAGACACTCGCCCTGAGCCTGGCCCTGTGGCGGCCCCGCCAGCTCCTTCACCATCCTGACTTAGAACAACCCTCCCTTGGCCGGGCTGGTGGCTCTGGGAGGCCGAGGCAGGAGGATCGCTTGTGGTCAGGTCAGGAGTTCAAGACCAGTCTCAGCAAGAGTGAGACCCCGTCTCAATAGAAAGAACCACCCTCCCGCCAAGCACAAAGCACGCTGACACGGAAAGAGGCCTGCACAGCTGTATTTTCCCGTCAGTTCTGTCCCTCAGCCACCCAAAAAGAAGGCAGCAGAGGCCAGCCCGTCCTGGCCTCCACCAGGCCCACGAGTGCCCACGCCGACGGCTCCTCCTTCCAGGTCCCGCCTGCTCACCCGCGGCCTCGGCCCTTCCTCAGTGGGCCCGGTACATGGGGGCGGGGGTCAGCAGAGCCCAGCTGTGGGGGGCCGGGGGGTGGGGGGTCCTCAGGCAGGGCCGGTTTCCGAAGGAGGATCCGTGAGGACTTGGTGAGGATGGCCTGGGGCGGGCGGGGGCTGGCCAGCTGGCGGAGGGGCTCCCGGGCGAGGGGCTCCGGGACACACGGATGCGCTGCCCACTGAGCGACAGCTGTGCGGGGACGGCGCCCGCCCTCCATCAGACAGGCGGCATTTCTGAGCCCAGGGAGGGGCAGCACGGGGCGAAACGGCAGCCCAGCCGGGGCGGTGAGTGTGCACGTGCGTGTGAGGGGGAGGGGCGGGGAGGGCTGGGGACGCCGGCCTCCCCCTGCGGCCTCCTCCTTTCTCTGCCGGCGGCAGGCGGGCCGGGGAGCTAGAGGCTGGCGGCCTCCGCGAAGCCCACCCTGTTGTTGTCGCGGTCGAACACCGAGTAGTAGCGGCCGATGAACACGTCGCCCAGAATCCAGAGCGGCCCGCTGGGCGGGGGGATGTCCATGCCCATGAAGCCGCTCAGGCAGATGGTCTTCCCGGCCTGGGATACCTGGGGCAGCCATGGGGTCACCACCGGGCCGTCGCCACCCGGGCCACCCCCCGCCCCCGCCCTGGGGCACCCACGGCGCCCGCTCACCTTGAGCGTGTAGTCCTCCGAGGACAGCACGTAGTCCTTGCCTCCCAGCTTCAGGGTGACCGAGGGCAGGCTGGACACCTTCTCGCAGGGGATCATGTACTACGGGCGAGAGCGCGTGTGGGGGCACCGCCCTGGGGGACACCGCCCTGGACCCCCCACCGGGCCGCCCGCCAGCCGCCAGCGCTCACCTCGCCCTGGATCAGCGGCACGGCCCCGATGGCCTTCTGCAGCTCACGCACCTCGTCCACGGGGCCCACCACGAGGGAGGTGCCCGTGTCCACGATGGCCTCGCAGCCCTCCTTGCACAGGGTCAGCCCGCTGGCCACCCGCACCCTGGGGGGCAG